ACCATCCACCCTGGCCTGGGACAGAGGCTCTGGATTATTATATATAATGCAGCCCAGAGAGCTCCATCTGACCTTGGTCTGGGGCTCCCCTAGCCTCCACCCCAGGCCCTCTATCTTAGGATACATCAGGCATCCTCCTTTCCTGCCCTTCTCTGTCCTCTTCCCTCAGGTTCTTTTAAAGTGTTAGAAACACTAACACACACCATCTACAAAGCATCTATACTGTTAGCCATTTTACAAATGTTGCCTGTCCTCCTCACTGTCATTATTAGGGATGACTATCCCAAGGTCACAGTCTGTTTAGAGGGGGGGCTGGGAAGCTCCCCAGCCCGTGCACTTTGCACCACGCTGCTCTGCCTCTTGCAGCCAGCCCCCTGGCCCAGGCTTAAGGTAACTACACCACCAGGGAATCGCTCGGCCCATTTCCGACTTCTGCTCAATCACTCCTGACCCACAGCAGCATTTCACCTCTGTACACACACACTTTCATGGCCGGAGCCCAGCTGCCTGGGACACTCAGGATTATTGCTCCAGATACGACACTCCAGCCCCTCTCCAAAGACATCACTTAGGCAGAAAGGCATACTTCCTAAAGGCCCTGTGGGATCTGGGCAAGGGTTAGGACTGTCCCAGGAGAAGTGAGCAGTCACCCCCAGCCCTGCCTCAGGGCGGACCTGAGCCTAGGGGCTGCAGTATATGACGCCCCCACCCCTGGCCTTACCTGCAGGGCTCTTACTGCAGAAATTATGCACATCCTATCCGTGTGTCTGCCTCTCTTGTCTCTTTGTTGGCTGTCAGCAACACGACATTTTCAGCTGTTCACCATGAAAAGTTTCTGCTTATTTTACAGTTATCTGCTGAGCACTTTGTGCTTTGGGGGCAGTTGAGATTCAAGAGATAAACGAAAAGTGCTGTTATAAAGATCCCTAAGGATGCAGACAGAGAGAGGAAGATGAGAGACACGTAAAGGTATAGGAATGAACAAGACACGTAAAGGTGCAGGAATGAACAATCTTCCCAGTGCTAGAAAGTGTAGGGAATGGCTGACCTGTATGTGAAGGACTTTACTAATTACAGCTAAAATTTTCAACACCAAATTCCAAGCACCAAACATTAAATCTAGGCTTTTGATTAGTACTACAATTCTGTGGGGTAAATACAATAATTTCTTCCATTTGTGAACGGGAGCTGGAAGGAGGGAGCTCACAGAGGACAAGTATCTCACCAAGGTCACACAGTCATAAAGTGGCACAGCTGGGATGTACCCAGGTTGGACACCAAAGCCTGTCTCTGAAACCCTGCACCACACTTGCTCCCTGGGAACGAGGGTTTAGAAAAATGAGACTCCACACGACAGGAGAGTTTTTTGTCCTTCCCAGGCCATGCTAACAAGGCCTGCAGGTACACAATAGCCCCTAGGAAACCAGGCCTATCAAGCCTGGTCCCATCTGACAGCTGCCCAGAACCAAAGAGCAAACAGGTTTGCAGCATCGCGGTCCACGTGAAGCTCGTGCAGCGTAACGTTTTCAAAGTACATATTTTATTTACATAGAGTAGTGCAAGTTGAACGCGAACAACGGTCTGTAATCCAATTTAAACAGCCATCGTGTGCTGGCTGACCTGGCCTGACATGTGCACCCTGTCCTGACCGTGGGTGGTAGCGGGTGTGACTGGCCTTTGTAAGGGAAATGATGCGACATTTCCATGATTTGGAAGCAATCTAAATTAGCTGATGGGATAGTTTTTTTTTTTTTTTCCAACAATGTAATCCCCGAAGCACAGCAACTTCTCCCTTCCTTACAGGCCAAGTCATAGGTGTAGCAAGTTTCTGAGTTCTGGCTGTGCTTCTGAGCTTTTGGCCCAAGTCCTACCAGCCCCAAGGTTTTCCATGGCAACAAAATTCTCCCCTCAACCCCTAATTTTTCTTTCACTCCCACTTTCTCCCTACTTCCCAAGTATCCCTGCAATACACTAGGCCAAGCGGAGCAGGGCAGGGGCTGCTGAAGTCTTCCTTTGGGGGGACTGATTAAAGCATCCCAGGATTTTCTCCACCACTGTCCAACTTCCTAGTCCCAATTGAATAGAAATATTGCTTGTCCCCTAGAACCATGCTAGGTAAGGCTGGCAGCTCCTCCAACCCTTAGTCAATTCTTAGATCTCAGGCACGTGAGAGTTAAATCCCCCACCCCATATTATTAATAAGTAATCAGCCTATGGTGACTGCAGCATCACCTGGGGTAGAGAAACTCTTTGGGCCCATCTCATCTTTCTCCTCGATTTACACCATGAGCAGAGAACAGGGCCCTTGTCTCCCCATTTACCCCTGTTTGACTGGATCTATTTCACCCTCAGTCTGTGACTCTCAGGGCTCTTCCCTGGGGGATGAAGCTGAAATACATTCCATGGCTGGTGGGAGGGGAGAGTCAGACAGCTTCCTCAGAGAGGACATGAATGACCAGGGAACCTGGCATTCACACTGTAGACTGTGGCACTTGCTGGACTCAGGCTTTATAAAATAAACAAGTCTCTGCCCCTTTGCTGCCCCTCAGGCTCTGCTCACACACTTGCACAGTCCCATCTTCCCAGAGCGATCCTCGCTCTTGAGCCATCTATTTGCTGTCTGTCTCACTCATCAGGGATGGGCAAATGCCGTTCCGTAAGTGATCCCCACGGAATCAGACTCCAGCTTGGAATCTGTCTGCCCTTTCCTCCTCACCAGGTGTTTCATAAGCTCTGGAGGCAGAGAAGAGTTGGGGTCTTACTGAATAAATATGCGTTCCAAGAAGTCCACAGACTCCTCTACACCACTGCCAGTGCCCCCAGGGTTCAGCCCTGAGGCCACAAGGGCAGCACCACGGCAACAAGGCAGAGGCCACCACTGCCACATGAGAGCAAGTGATGTGGACAAGGGGACCCTGGTAACATGTCCTCCGTGGCAGCAGTGCAGAAGGTCTCTTGGGCAGAAGTGGGAGAAAAGAATAAAATGGCCAAGTAGGGCTAGAAAAAGTCTTCCTACAATAAAATCCAGGCTTGGGCGTCTCTAGGGAGCAGCACTGTAAAAGCGCTGTTGGCGCAGCAGCTTGCCGAGGCCCACTCAGAGCAGAGACGAAATTCGGGGCGGACCTTTCGCTCATGTTAACCAGAACCAGCACAGGCCTCGTGTTCCTGCTGGCTGTGCCACAGGGTGAGGGTGCAGCCGGCAGCATATCCCACTGCTCTGTCTGCTCTTGGCAAAGCGAGTTGTGAGTCTGGTGATTCTGAAGAAAACGAGTGTCCTGCCACGATCTGGGTCTCCACCAGCAACCTGAGGAAGGGTGCCTCAGTACTTGAAAAGATCTGGAAGTTGTGTTTAAAGCTTATAGCTTTCTTTATTCAGAAGACTTTTTAAAAAGAAAAATCACTTTCCCCTACAGGTCCTCAGCAATTAATTTTTAAATTTATTTTGTTTTTTTTTGGCTGGAAGAAGTTTTGATAACGCTGCGGTTCCCACCCACCCACGCACTCTTATCTGCCGGGCTTGGCCTCCACGCCCTGAAGCAGGGCTGCTCCACTCTTTCAATGGGTTTTATCTGGTGCCAAGGGGAGATTCGGTGCCATCTCATCACTTGCTGATCAAGAGCAATCCCAGTCCGACAGCTCACAGAACTGAAAACCCTTAAGAAGACAGAGACGGCCTTGGCAGAAGCAGTGAGGGCCTCACAGGGAGGCAAAGTCTTAAAGGTTTGAGCACCATCTTCTGGTCAGTTATTGGCCTCTGAAAACTTCATTTACTTCAGAATGGGACGATCCCTGAGCCGACTAGCTCAAGTGATTTGCACATAAAATGAGCACACAACTGGAGGCGGGGTGAGTTGGCCCAGCTGCCTGCACAGAGCAGGATGGATGCCAGCAGACACACTGGCAGTGTTAAGGTCCCACCTTCTGCCCTTCCAGCAACGTGTGATGGCGACAGAAGTAGCGACCATGACCCAGATCGACCCCTCCCCTGCTGGTACCTGGTGATGTGAAATGTGCTTAGAAAGAAGGGGTGGCCTTGTCTTCTGCCAGCCTGTATTTTGAGGGTGAGTGATCAAACTGGGCAGTACCTTCCACAGGGGGTCAACCACACAAGGTGGCAGGGAGCCGTGCTGGGTGTGTAAACACTGCCCTAGCAGACTTCAACCTTCTGCCATCAGGGAAAGGAAGATAAATGCTAGTCATTCCTTCCATCTAATTGCACTTCATAATGGATTCCATAAACCATTAATTATCAGATTATATTTTAGGAATTGAAGATGAAAAAGCTTTGTAAAATTCAGACTCCAAAGGATCACTGACCTGCAGTCACAGTGGCAGCTGGAAAGAGCTCAGACAACAGGCTACTCACAGGAGGGGAAGACCCTGGCAGGAGGAAGACTCGGGCCACCACGGGTGCTACTCCACCTGGTGCTGGTTCACTGCTACGTTACATGTATCACGTGCTCCTCAGGGAGGGGACGAGGCTTCCAGGTTGGGTAGAAGCTTTAGGCTTTGATTAGGGAAAGGGGATTGAGGACACCACAGAAAAGCTATGGGAACCAGCCTCAGGTGCAGAATACCATGAAGAGTTTCCTGGTAAGGCAGAGACCGTTTGCAGCTAGATGGCCTCACACTGAACACTCCCAGAAGAAACACTCCAAAGGCTTTGTTTGGGGAATGGCTGACTATACTGACAAGGTGGGACTCAGCATGGAAATGAAGCCTTCCTGTGTCAGCATGCTGCTACCTGTCCTACTGCCACCATGCGAGGAGGCTGGAAGGATGACAGACGTGAGGGAGGTGCTGAGTGTGCTCAAGGCTGGGAATCCCCAGATGGTCTGATGGTGTTTTTCTCTCTTTTTTTTTTTTTTTTTTTTTTTTGCGGTACGTGGGCCTCTCACTGTTGTGGCCTCTCCCGTTGCGGGGCACAGGCTCCGGACACGCAGGCTCCGCAGCCATGGCTCACGGGCCCATCCGCTGCGTGGCATGTGGGATCTTCCCAGACCGGGGCACAAACCCGTGTCCCCTGCATCGGCAGACGGACTCTCAACCACTGCGCCACTAGGGAAGCCCCCTATTTTCTCTCATTTTTAAATGGCCAGAAGGCACTGGCAGCACCTGCAGCCCCACTCTGTGGGCCACTGTCCTGCACTGAGCTGCTGCTCTGCATGCTGAGGGCTGCCAGCACATCACACCGCTCTGGTTACTCTGGTCACCAGCTCTTATTCCACTGCTCTTTCAGGCTCTATTTCAGAAACTATACTCCACTTGGGGATGGACAGTGTCAGAGAGGCCACAGCAGCAGGCCTGTGAGGAACAGGCCTGCCTGCTACGGAGGGCGGTCACATTGGTGTTGATGACTCAGACTTGGTTTTATGAGAACCATGATGCTTCTGTCCGTTTCCCAAGTGAGACCACTTAGGTTGGTGCTAAGCTAAGATGCTCAATACTCAGGACATCGAGGGAGGAAGGGCAAAAGGCAAGTGTGGAGCATTCTCTCTATTGCAAACGTAGGACCCTCCACGATGAGCAGCCACTCACTTGGCCTCCCCACATATTAGGGTCACGGTACCGTCTAGCAAGTCCTCCACGGTCACTGCCACAAGCTCAGAGCTGGTCTGGGATGTCTGCGAATCTGGCAATGTCACAAACACCTGTGAACCAGCAAGCTGGGTCTCCTCCAAAGTGATCACCTGCTCCGTCTGGGCCACCGGCTCTGGGGTTTGGATCACCTGAAAGGGAAAGACCGTGAGGCTGCTCTGGGCAGTGTCCACAGTTGGCTCCCCAGAACTTACATGGTTTTCATCTCACGCTGTAATGATGATACTTATGTTTTCACCAGAGGAGAGCAGTTACATGTGCTTAATGGGAAGAGGCAAGTCTAACACACCAGTGATGCAAAAGAGAAGGCAGGCAAACAGGTAGCTCTGTGCCAAATTGCCGTAATTTAGCTCCGTACGCCACCTCAGGGTGCCTGGACTCTGATTACGCACCAGTGAGCGCCGGCTCAGTTTCTCACACTGGGCTTTCCTGTCTTGAGGATTACACTGCAGAAGTAAGTGCCGTGTGAAAGGAATGCTACTGAATCACAGTGGTTCGTGTCATGCTTGAACCATGGAAATGGGAGTGGTTTACCAGAAGCCTCGGGTTGCCAAAGGTGGCATGTCTGGACCTTGATCAGGCTAAGAGCCCTACTTGGAGGCTACGTGGCTACAGAGCTAATGGCTATAGGAAGAAGAACAGGTAGACAAAATGTGGCTTCTGTCAGCTCCCTCACGCAGCTCACCAGGCTGGAGGGCACTGGCTTCTCTCCTCCACAGGCCACACACACCCCTTCCAAATCTGCAGCATCTGTTAAAGATGACTTTCCCATCTCAGGGAGAACTAGTCTGGTTGAGTACACTCAGTTCTTGCCTGAACCTCCGAGTTGATGTTTCTGAGCCATGGAGCTCGGAACAGCTGGATGTTTTCAATACAGAGCGCCCGCAGAGGGCACAGCAACCCTGGATCTCGAGAGCTGCCGAGAGCAGAAAGTGCTTTCCACTAGACCTGGGTGGGCAGAAATGGAGATGCCAAGCTCAGCCATGTCTCTGCTGTAGGAGTGAAGAGACCAATTGTGATGTTCAATAAAAAATCATCTAGGACAGCAGTTTTCAAACTGTTTTTCTTTCTTTTTCTTTTAGCAATGGAATCTTTTTTTCACCCCAAAGGACATCTTACCCAGAATCCTAATATATAAAAAAGATAACAGCGGCGCTGTTCTCATTGAAATGGCAGCAGGATTGGCACCCAGAGGCCTGGCTGCCTGACTTGCCCTCTGCTCCCCACAGAGGCCTGTAAGAACACAGCTATAAGGGGCTGCTCTAAGGGACAGGACGGGGGGCGGCCCAGCCAGCTCACAGTTCCTCTCCCGTCCATTCACAAATTACTGTCAATCAACAGAATGGAGTTTCTTTTCCCTTCCTGCCCACCCTTTCTGGAGAAGACGGGAAGGCAGTAATAGAACTAGAGACACAAAGAGGGGCTGGAGCAAACATAGCCTTGAAATATCAGAAGAGGGGGGCTTTACACCCAGGTAAAGGTGAGAAGCCCAGACGTTCAAATGTGCCCTGTGCCCAGCCCAGAGGAGTTACCAAAGCATTTCAGCTGAAGGTGGTCTCAACAAAGAGCTCATCTACCCTCCTCCAAGTTTCCTGCAACTCTCACCACATCCCATGGTATTCTGCAGAAGGTGAGGGAGTGTGTGAATTGGGAGGAGAGGCCAATGTCATTCTGCTTTTGAAAATTCTTGTTCCAGCTTCCCTCTACTCAGGGGCCATTTCACATGTAGTCACCAGGAGGCTAGAATTTTCTGTTCTGTTTGGTAAGAGGTCCAGAGAGACTCTTCTGCAAGATCCTCTTGGTCATGAATGCATCACTCACGGGGCCCTCTGAGAGCCCCGGGGAGAAAGGCTAGGTGTCGTGATGGGACTGCCTCCAGAGAAGCCTCAGGGACCCCGTGTCAGCACCCTCATATCTGATGGCCCCAGAATCACCTGCACCATCTGTGAGGCGGCCACTTGGCTTTCAGTGCCCGTCACCTTTGGGTGTTCAGACTCCAAGTGACAGTCCAGCTGGGCCTGGGAGGTGAAGAGCTCCCCGCAGAGCTCACAGGGGAAGGTGCTCTCCGACTGCTTGAAGTGCTCAGTGGTGACGTGGTGCTGCAGCGCCCCGGGAAAGCGGAAAGTGGCTGCACAGTACAGACACCGGAACGGCTGTGACCCTGGAGGAGGGGGACAGAGGGAGTGACTGAGGGAAACGAGAGGAGGGAGGGGAGAGGAAGGTGCAAGGGGGGGGGCGAGGAGCACAGGCAGGTCCAGAGGCAGCTCTTCAGCTCCTGTGGGGCCTGGAGCGTGTACAATTTGGGGAGCCCTCTCTAGGAAGACTGATACAAAATTACACATACAGGATTAGGGACAGGTCTTTGGAAGGGTCCCACCAAGTGCAAGGCTCCAAGGCACAGCTTCATTAGCATCACCTTCAGGCTAAATCTGCCTCTGCCAAAGTCCATTATTCACTCACCTGGAATGGTGCTGACAATGTTTATTTCGGCAATTCTAAGAAGCACCTTTTAACATCTCTGAAATGGGATCAATGGCATCTTACTACTGTTACAGGCCACGGAGGTGGGTGTAATTGTCAACAAGTGCACTTGCACAGACATCTAAAGGGGCAGCATCAAGACTTGCAGAATGCATGTCCACAGTCTGAAAGAAAAGCCCTAAGACAGGAGCAGTGCATGTTTTAAACTCACAGGAAACAAATGGTTCAGAGGGAGGAGGTAAGGGTTGGATGTTCAGCTACATTCCCAAAGCAGGAATCAGAAGACTAGTTTTGCTAATGCTCGAGAGACCAAAACCACCTTACCGTGCTCTCCATCACCAATGCTCTTGACGGTGGAGGGCAACACCATGTGGAATAACACTCACGCCAACAATCTGAACTGAGAGCTACTCTGGGAAGCTGAATTCTTACGTTGATCAACTTATTTCTTACGTTTCCTTTTTTTATGTATGCATACAAGAGTGCATAAAATCTACATCAAATTAAGTCCAAAGCAGCACTTAGGATAACCTGCAAACTCTAAGTGATAAGAAAGCATAGTTTAACTGGAAGCAGTTTTTCTTTCTTAATGGTTCATTAAAAATGGTGCCTCTTATAGAACTGGCATTTTAGATTTGATAAGGTACAGCAGGAACAATGATAATCATGGGTAACGCTTACGAGATGCTTACTGGTGCCAGGCCTTAAGTGTTTTCTGTGTACTAACGTATTCAACTCTCACGGTTCCCCTATGAAGTAGGCACTGCAAGCGTCCCGGTTTTGTAGATGAAGAAACCGAGGCACAAGTTAGTTGCTACTTAGCCTGGGTCGCGCAGCTGTAGGTGGTGGAGACGAGACCCGTCCCTGGGCAGTGCAGCTCAGGAGCATCTTGGAAGGGGCACTGACCTGAATGCTGGCACTTGATGTGAACCTGCAGCAAAGCTGGCGTGGGGAAGAGCTCCTTGCACTGGCCACATTCATGGAACTTCATATCTGAGAAGCACACGAGCAAAGAAGTGGTGGGAAAGAACAAAAGGAAGATTCTCTGAGCCTGGGGAGTAACAGGGCTGGAGGCGGGGTGACGGCTCACACTTAGCGAGCATCTACGAAGTGCCAGGAACCTGATACCTATGCTACATTAGTGCAATCTGTGGTAAAGAGCGTCAGATCTGGATCCAAGTGCCCGGATGCAAAGAGGGTTGTTGTGAGAATTAAAGGAGAAAACACGCGTGGGCACTGAGCACAGTGCCGCACACTCAGGAGACACTTCATAACTGCGAGCTGTTGTGATCATCCCCCAGTTTATCTGTAACACAGGTATGAATAATTGACTTTCTGAAGAAAAGGAAACAGGTTCAGAAAGAGAAGTCACTTGCCAAGGTCACACAGCTAGAGTTAGGATTCCCACCCTGGCCTGTGTGCCACCCTTCCCATGTGCCACGACCAGTCACCACCGAGGCTGGCAGGAGTCACACTGCTCTAGGTCTCCAGTTGCAAGAACTACTGCTACTCAAGCTAGTGTTACTGATGGACTGACGTGGCACCTGCCGGTGTGCTGGGGAGGAAGAGGGTGTCACTGCAGCACACCACACTCTAGCACTAGAAGTAGGGATTTAGGGCTGGAACCCAGGATGCTACGTCACCAAGCCCCTTCCACTCCTCAGCCCCCACTCCCAGTCCAGGGCACCCCAATTCACCTGCGTGCTCTGCTTTGATGTGCTTCTTATGTTCAATGGTGTTGTGAAAGGTTTTGTCACAGGAGCTGCACTGGAGTGACGAGAACTTGGAAGATCGATGGTTCTGAGCAGCAAACACGTCAGGGTGGTGGGTCCGATTGTGGTACCACAAACCAGACAATTGCTAAAAGGAATGTGGCAAATGTTAGGTCTTGGATGTTCTAGCAAGCTGGAGAGTTCACAAAGCCTCATGAGAGAAAAGCGCTCCCAGGGAAGCTTATGGACCTGGAGTCACACTCTTTACTCACCACAGTGAGTGCTGACATGCGAGGGGACGCTGGTGCTCATGGGAACAAGGCACCTGTGTATTCACTGAGGTCACCACAGGGCAGGGCCGGGGCCTTCAGAAACCCATTCCTCACAAGCTTAGGAGGGAGGTGTTAGGCTCTTTCCAGTGACGTGGAAGCTGAGGCACAGAGGGGTGAAGTGACTTGCCCAAGGTCACATGATCAGTAAACAGGAGGACCAGGATTCACACCCTGGCCTTCTGAATGGAGAATCTGTGCTTCACCACCGAGCTGTCTTGCTGCCTGTCAGAGGCCCAGGGCGCAGCAGGGAAACCTGCTGGAGAGGGGCAGGTGCTATCCCTACTCCGTAAGCCAGTGCCCCCTTCTTCCCGGGTTCCAGAGCAGCGCTGCGACACTCTCTGTACAATTCCATGGTTTCCTAGAGACCAAGCCCAGGTTTTACCCAGCTCTGTAACCCTAACGTCACAGCACAAGGCTTGGAACAAAGTTAGCTCTCAATTTCTGTTGAGCTGAAATTAGCTGCTGGGTTTCTCTCTCTGTACCCAAATGCTATAGATGCCAGCGAGGGCCATTCTTTTCTCTGTGGTCTTAGAGTTTCTCAAAGAAGTGGTTTCTTTTCAGATCTGTATGGGGTTTCCCTTCAATTACATAGCAAACTCTAAGGTAAAAAAGCAGAGCTCTTCCCCAGGAGTTAAAAAATCCTCCACAAAACACCAATAATTGTGCTAAACAAGATAATTCCAGGTAGTGTTACACACCCCAGTGTCATTCTCACATCCCTCAACACATGGGATCAATAGGTTCTAAAGAATGTAAATATCCAGGGAAAATGCAGGATTCAGTTCAGGACAAGGCTGAAATCTAAGAGAAGAAGTGCAAGAACTCTTGGCTCCAATTAAAGCTCCCCCACTGACCCCACTCTGACCAGGTCACCACAGAGGATCTGAATAACCTATCGGCTGCATTCTTCATGAGAACCGGCCAAATGGTCATATCCTGGAGACAAGAGGTGTTCTGCAAGCCACAAACACGGGGGCCAAGGGAGACCAAAGGGAGAGTGGATGAGGGCCCGGGAAAGGTGCCCGCAGAAGCTGAGCTCACCTGGTAGGCCTTGTTGCAGATCCCACAGCTGAAGGGCTTCCCTCCGACGTGGGTCACCATGTGCCGCTCCAGCATCGAAGGGGCGCTGAAGATCTTCCCACACGTGGGGCAGGGGTGGTACTCCTTGGAGTGCACCTCGTGGATGTGCTTTCGGTGATCCTGCAGAGTGGGGAAGCTCATCCTGCATTTCTTGCAGTCATATGGATCTTCTATGTCTGGTTCCATGAGGGGAGGGAGGGAGACACCACAGGCAACAATCAGTGACAAGTGGTTTTCTGTGTGCAGCTCCAGAAGCCAGACTGTTTAGAGGTCATGCAGGGTGACAGACTCGAAGGACCAGAAATCACTGCATCCATCACCTAACTACCTCCTACTTTCATCCTGGGAGGTGGGGTTCCTCTGAGGCTTCTGGATTAACCACCTCTGAGCATGAGTTTACCTCAATTCCTCATCTTACATCTTACAAGTTAAATTCCATCTTACTACTTTCCAGGGAGTATCACCTTTGCTCTTCCCCTGCCTGCAGTGGGTGTTTTGGGGTTTTCTAATTCTCTGTAGAGATTTCCCACATACTACCCAAAGCATCACTATTTCCTTTTTTGTCAGTAGTACAATGCAGAGGATGAATGCTTCCTTGATCCCCACTTTAGATTCAACAACAAAAACATTTTCATAAGTAATGTTTATTAAGTGACATGCGTGTTTTAAGTGCCTACATATATTAAATCACTTAAAACTTCCAATAACCTATGTGTAGGTTCTACTACCAGTCCTATTTTATAGATTAGGAAAATCAAGGTTTAGAGAGTGCCCAATGGCACAAGTATGATATTGCTGAGCTGGGTAACAATCCCAGCTTTCACTCCCAAGGTCATGCTCTGAGCTGCATGCTGAATTGGACAAGGCAACTCCTCAGTGGGACCTCAAAAATAAGAACTAGCACTGATGAAGAATACATTTGCCATCCCTGTGGCAGGAAAGTTCAGTCTTTTTCTGAAGGTAACAGAAAGTAAAACGTTTGAATAATAAAATCCTTTGCCCACAGAAAGGCCCAGCCCATCAGCCAATCTTATGTGTGTGCTGATCCAGGCTAATTCAGGGATTCTGACACGCAGCAGCACTCGGCATCATTAACTAGTATCCCTGCGGACGTGAGCTCTTGAGATCTCAGTTTCACACTATCTTTTAAGACACTTGGAAGGAATTCTCCGTAAGCAATGATGTGATCCTATGCAACAGGCAAGGAACAGTCAATGAGAGAGGGGCCTGGATGCTGGGCCTGCTTTGGGTGATCCGCTCCAAGTCATGGCAAAGTTTTTCGGATCTTCTCTATTCTGAAAATTGATAATGTCTTCCCCTTTCCTGACTTCATGTGATGCTACTGGGAAAAGGAGACTAAAGCGGAATGTCATTTAAAGAGATTGAGAGGACTTCAAAGTTGTGGCACTGGATCCAAGCCAAATCCCACTCACCTGGAAGTCTACTGCAACTGGATTTGCTGGACAACCTTGTAAACTCCTCGGGGGGAGTGGGGGGCAGCACTTTATGTTTTCCTGTATTGCCCAGTGCCCAGCCACATGCTGGGCACACACAAGCTCTGGCGAAGTGCCTTGTTGGCTGGCTGACAACAGACTTGAATGTGTTGGCAGAAAGCACATGTTTGTGAGATACTGTATTTGCCAACAGTTAGAAACTGGTGTGTGGGGAACAAAGGTAGGGAGGGGAAAAGGGAAGAAGATACTATGCAAGGTGCATGGCATGAAAAAAAAAGGCAGGCTCTTATGGTGACAGATGGCACTGGAGAAGGCTGCTCTTGTCACCAATACTCTCTAGCATTTATTGAGCATTTTCTATGTGGCAGGCATGGAGCTTCATGCTTTATGTGTGATATCTCTTTTATTCTCACAACAGCCCAATGTGGTAGTGTTACTATTTTCTCTACCTTACAGAAGGCGCATAAGAGGCTTAAAAAGGTAAAGAAGTTTGTCTAAGGCCTAAAAGAAGTAAGTGGCAGAGTACTCAAGATTCAAGCCCAGGCCCGTGTGATGTCAGAGCCCAAGCTCTTAAGCTCGCTGCTGGGCTGTGCTGACCACATGACTGCTACAACGAGAGCAGCTGAAGATGATGTGACGTGACCAGCGGATGCCTCCTTGGCGATTTCCTGAGGATGTGATGAGGAGTCACAAAATCTCCTCTTCCTCCCCTGTGTGTGTTGAATGGAAGTGTGTTTTTGTCTGTATCCGTTCTAGTAGAAGGGGACAAAGATGGGGGCAGACCCTACTAACTGGGTAAATACAAGGCATTTGGAAGAGAATGCTGGGCAGAAGGCTTTTAAGGGAACATGACTAGGGGCCACTCACAGTGGTACGCATTAACTCAGACAGCGTCCGGGCTGCCCCTATGGGGAAAGGCAGGTTATGACCATAAGATGAGAGTGGGAGTAGGAAAACGAAGCTCAGCGGACAAACGGAAATATTCCGGTGCTCTGCGAGCCTGTCTGTTATAAAGACTCTTTCCTTCAAACATAATGGGCCTCTGTCAGCCAAAAAGAGCCAGGTGGGCTAAAACGGAAGACAAGGAAACAGCCTGGACAGAGAATCACACAATGACACGTTAAAATGGGATTCTTCTTGAAATAGGAATGAGGGACTCTGGCTTTTGCAGGAGAATAGGAGAGGGGAAGGCACTGAACGGGGCCCAGCTCTAGTGGAGTAATGACTTCTGTTATGACTGCTGCGTGCCTTCCCAGCGCCAGGCCTGGTGCTGAGTGCCTAATATCCACAATCTCAGTACATACTGTGAAAGGTGTGCAGGTGGATGGAGAGGCCATTGGCTTGCCGGAAGCCCTTGCCACAATCTCTGCAGACATATGGCTTGTCCCCAGTGTGGGTCCTCACGTGGCGGGACAGCTCAATGGACTGGGCAAACACAGCATCGCAGTACTGGCATGCATACATTTTTCCTGGAAATATACGTGAGTTTATTAGAGGCAGCACTAAACATTTAGGGCATTCATAAAAACAAAATCACATTCTAAGGCACACAACAGGGAAATATAATCTGGGAGATGACAGTAAAACACGAGGCAATTTGTAATACACTGGGTGAGAGGTCTGAGCCATCCTATCAGATGGTACCTCACAAACACAGTTGATCACACAGGGAGGGTATCAGTGTCTCCCTACCCTGAGGGATAAGGACAGAGTTCTCATCACACAAGACTAGCCATCTGTTAATCTGGCCACTACAAGTACGTAAGAGCTCATTCCATTCCCAGGAAACAGATATATCCTTGAGCCCAGAAAGACGTGAGCCTGGATCCCTTGAAAAACATACAGGGCAGAAATGCAACTGCACATAAAGATGACAGATGTGGACTCAGAAAAGAATGACAGCTTTCTGCCAGCGACTTGCTATAAAGATTCTCTTGGCTTCTCTATTTCCTCATGCACTAATGAAAATACAATGACCAGACTGCCAGAGAGCATTAGAAAATACCGGTAAAGAGCAAGTCTGGAAAATCGGCATTTGTAAAAAAATGCTAGACCAAATGTACCTTCAGTCTCCCTTATGGGCTAATAGAGAAATGGGAAAATCAATAAGGTGAGGGTCCAGACAGCCCAGATCCTAGGGGTGACTTCAACTAGGGCAATCCACCTCATTTTCATTTTTTATATGTTACACTTTGGAACAAGATTTTGTTAAGAAAAAAAGGGTTTCTTACCATTTCCTCTAAGATCAGAACAAGACAAGGGTGCCCACTCTCACCACTATTATTCAACATAGTTTTGAAAGTTTTAGCCATGGCAATCAGAGAAGAAAAAGAAATAAGGAATCCAAATTGGAAAAGAAGTAAAACTGTCACTGTTTGCAGATGACATGATACGATACATAGAGAATCCTGAAGATGCTACCAGAAAACTACTAGAGCTAATCAATGAACTTGGTAAAGGATACAAAATTAACGCACAGAATTCTCTTGCATTCCTATACACTAACAACGAAAAATCTGAAAGAGAAATTAAGGAAACACTCCCATTTACCATTGCAACAAAGAGAATAAAATACCTAGGAATAAACCTACCTAAGGAGACAAAAGATCTGTATTCAGAAAACTATGAGACACTGATGAAAGAAATCAAAGATGATACAAACAGATGGAGAGATATACCATGTTCTTGGATAGAAGAATCAACATTGTGAAAATGACTATACTACCCAAAGCAATCTACAGATTCAGTGCAATCCCTATCAAACTACCAATGGCATTTTTCACAGAACTAGAACAAAAAATTTCACAATTTGTATGGAAACACAGAAGACCCCGAATAGCCAAAGCAACCCTGAGAACGAAAAACGGAGCTGGAGGAATCAGGCTCCCTGACTTCAGATTATACTACAAAGCTACAGTAATCAAGACAGTATGGTACTGGCACAGAAACAGTAGATCAATGGAAAAAATAGATCAATGGAACAGGACAGAAAGCCCAGAGATAAACCCACGCACATATGGTCACCTTATCTTTGATAAAGGAGGCAAGAATATACAAAGGAGAAAAGACAGCCTCTTCAGTAAGTGGTGCTGGGAAAACTGTACAGCAACATGTTAAAGAATGAAATTAGAACACCCCCTAATACCATATACAAAAATAAACTCAAAATGGATTAAAGACCTAAATGTAAGGCCAGACACTATGAAACTCTTAGAGGAAAACATAGGCCGAACACTCTATGACATAAATCACAGCAAGATCCTTTTTGACCCACCTTCTAGCGTAATGGAAATAAAAACACAAATAAACAAATGGGACCTAATGAAACTTAAAAGCTTTTGCACAGCAAAGGAAACCACAAACAAGACGAAAAGACAACCCTCAGAATGGGAGAAAATATTTGCAAACGAAGCAACTGACAAAGGGTTAATCTCCCAAATACACAAGCAGCTCATGCAGCTCAGTATCAAAAAAACAAACAACCCACTCCAAAAACTGGTAGAAGACCTAAATAGACATTTCTCCAAAGAAGATATACAGATTGCCAACGAACACATGCAAGGATGCTCAACATCACTAATCATCAAAGAAATGCAAATCAAAACCGCAACGAGGTATCACCTCACACCAGTCAGAATGGCCATCATCAAAACATCTACAAACAAAAAATGCTGGAGAGGTTGTGGAGAAAAGGAAACCCTCTTGCACTGTTGGTGGGAATGTAAATTGATACAGCCACTATGGAGAACGGTATGGAGGTTCCTTCAAAAACTGAAAACAGAACTACCATATGACCCAGCAATCCCACTATTGGGCATATACCCTGAGAAAACCATAGTTCAAAAAGAGTCATGTCCCACAGTGTTCACTGCAGCACTATTTACAATAGCCAGGACATAGAAGCAACCTAAGTGTCCATCAACAGACGAATGGATAAAGAAGATGTGGCACATATATACAATGGAATATTACTGAGCCATAAAAAGAAACAAAACTGAGTTATTTGTAGTGAGGTGGATGGACCTAGAGTCTGTCACACAGAGTGAAGTAAGTCAGAAGGAGAAAACAAATACCATATGGTAACACATATATATGGAATCTAAAAAAAAAATGGTTCTGATGAACCTAGGGGCAGGACAGGAATAAAGACACAGACGTAGAGAATGGACTTGAGGACACCAGGGGGCTGGGAGGGGAAGCTGGGACGAAGTGAGAGAGTGGCAATGGACATATATACACTACCAGATGTAAAATAGCTAGCTAATGGGAAGCAGCCACATAGCATAGGGAGATCAGCTCGGTGCTCTCTGACTAGCTAGAGGGGTGGGAAAGGGAGGGTGGGAGGGAGAGAGACGCAAGAGGGAGGGGATATGGGGATATATGTATACGTAGAGCTGATTCGCGTTGTTATACAGCAGAAACTAACACAATATTGTAAAGCAATTATACTCTAATTAAGATGTAAAAAATAAATAAATAAATAAAGTAGCAGTACAGCAGGGAAAAAAAAAAAGAAAAATAGGGTTTCTTGAATCAAGAGTTGAAATTATTGAGAAGCCCAGGACTCAGCCTTTGGCCTTCTTCTCTGTCTCCACTTTCTAGATGATCTTATCTCAGAGCCGTACATTCTACCTGTACATTGCTAGCTCCCACATTCTCTCTAGCTCCCACATTTACTCCTCATATCTCCCAGCTGTCCCTAGAACTTCAGACTTATATCCACTGCCTATCAGCCTAGTTGTCCAGCTGGAGGTCCGAGTAGCTCAAATTTACCACCATGCCAAAACAGAGTTCCTGAGTCCACCGCCACCACCCCCGCAACCCACCCACCTATAAATACACACACACTCCAGTTTCTCCCGTTTCAGTAAATGGCAGCATCATTTACCTGGCTGCTCATGCCAAAACCCCCAAAGCCACCCTTAATTCCTCTCTTTCCCTCATATCCCACATCTAATCCATTATCAGTCCTGTCACTTCCACTTTCAACAACATATCCCCAAACTTGAACATTTTTTTACAACTCCTCCAACACAGCTTCGTAAGACCCATTCTGGATTTTTAACCTCCAAAGTGATGAGACAATACATTTGCTATGTTTTAAGCCACTGCTCCTGGTAATTTTTTACAGCAGCAATAGAAACGAACACACCTCACATAAAAACCAAAGTCCTTACCTTGGCTTAGAAGATCCTATAAGATCTGGCCTTTTGGTTTCTTTTTTTTAAAATAAATTTATTTATTTTTATTTATTTTTGGGTCTTTGTTGCTGAGTGCGGGCTTCCTCTAGTTGCGGCGAGCGGGGGCTACTCTTCATTGTGGTGCACGGACTTCTCATTGCGGTGGCATCTCTTGTTGCAGATGACTTCTCTTGTTGCAGAGCATGGGCTCTAGGCACGTGGGCTTCAGTAGTTGTGGCACGTGGGCTCAGTAGTTGTGACTTGCGGGCTCTAGAGCGCAAGCTCAGTAGTTGTGGCGCACGGGTTTAGTTGCCCCGCGGCATGTGGGATCTTCCTGGACCAGGGCTCGAAGCCATGTCCCCTGCATTGGCAGGCGGATTCTTAACCACTGCGCCACCAGGGAAGTCCCAAGTTCTGCCCTTTGGTGACCTCTCTGACCTTAGCTCTCAACACTTTTCCCTCACTTACTGTGCTTTAGCCCCTTCTACTTTTCTTCGGTCCCTCAAACAGGTAAGTCTCATTCGTTCCCACTTGGAGAGGGGGTGCTCTGCACTCGTGATGTTCTTCTCCTAGATCTTCCATTGGTTCTGTCTTTCATTGTGTTCAGGTTCCTATTCAAATCTCCTCTGCTCTCTCTGATGATACAAATATTAATAAATAGTTCCCAATCCCCACCCCTGCTGCTTATTCTGCTTTATTTTTCCTCATGCAGTGACTACTATCTGAATTTATATTACACTTATATATATGGTCTGTTTTACCCACTGGAATGTTAGCTCCGTGGGCTTGTGTATAGTTACACTATCCCTAGTGCCTGGAATAATGCTCAGGAAATTCATTCACTCAGTAACTGTTTATTGAGGACCTCCTATTGCTAAGTACTATTCTAAGTTCCACAGATACATCAGAGGGAAGGAAAAAAAAAGACTAAGAGCTTTACCCTCATGGAGCTTGTATTCTAACAGGGGGAGACTAACTATAAACAAAATAAATTAATACGTAGATGATGGATCCTATGATAAGTGAGAGGGAGAAAAAGAATGCAGGGGAACTGGGGCTGGGGCACTGAGACTTTACACAGGGTGGTCAGGAAAGACCTAAAGGAGAACGTGAGATTTGTGTAAAGACTTGAAGGCGGTGAGGAAGTGAAGCCTCGAGGTGTCTGAAGGGAAAGCATTCCAAGCAGAGGTCAGAGGTCAGAGGCCTGCAGGTCAGAGGCCTTGCAAGGAAGCTGCAACGGGTAGAATAGGGCAAGTGAGGGGGAGAGCGGTAAGAGATAAGGTTGGAGAGGTATCGGGGACTTGATCATGCGGGGCCTGGTAGGCTACCCTTCAGATTTTACACTGAATGTGGTGAAAAGCTTTTGCAGGGTTTTGAGCAGAGAAGTGACCTAACGTGGTTTAGCTTTAGAAGGATCACTTGGGCCTGTGTACTGAGAACACTGTCCAGAGAAAGGGTGAGAGGAGGAGACTAGTTAGGAGGCTACAACAACAATCCAGGCGAGATGATGGTGGCATTTGTACTCACACATAAATGCTCCAAATGATGTACAGAATCCTCCGAGAAGCCTTCCCTGACAACACACCGTCCCCCACTCCAACTGGACTAGAAACCCCTACTTCATTCTTCCGTATCTCCCTGTAATGGTATTATTCCATATCACACCTCTGATGGATGACCCTGACCCTGCACGGTAACTGTCTCTATACTAGAGACACGCTGGACCGTCAGCTCTGTGATCCCAGGTATTCCAGGTAAGTCACTTAGTGTCTGCCATTGCCCGATCCACAGCAGATGCTCAACCAAGGGTTTTCTTATGCTTGAACTCCACCTCAAAGCCCAAAGAATTCCTGGCTTTATGTAAATTCTATAACTAGAAAGTCATAATATTATGTTAACCAGCTTCTCTTCAGAAACTCTCACCAAAAGCATTTTACATGTCTTTGCACATATGTATTTCCCAGCAACTGTGCACCTAGAGAGTCCATGTCTGTTTCTGTTTTTGATCTCTTTGAGATATATATCATGCCTAATCCCAAATGGGTTTTTAGGCAGCTCACAGTGTTAAAATTTGTAGGAAAAGTGAAGAAATTCTCCAAGCCTTACCTTCTGAGTGCTTCTTCTTGGTGTGGTAGGCCAGGGCAGAGGCCTGGGTGAAGGTCATGAGGCAGTGCTTGCACATGAACGGACGGTCCCCAGTGTGAAGGCGAAGGTGGTTCTTCAGGGTAGAATTGGCCGCAAACTTTGCCCCACACTCCTCACAGGAGAACGGCTTCTCGTCAAAATGCTCCGTCAGTTTGTGGTACTGCATGCCTAGGGAAGCCATACCAGGGGCCAGAGATGCTAGTGATCAATGTTATGAATTCAGCAGGAGGATACACCCGAACACTGTCTCAGGCCAGGCCTCGAGAGGAAGCACAGCGTGAGCCACAGGACGCCAGGCCATGCTGCTCATCAGCCCGCCACCCAGCGCTCCGAGCCACCTTGGTCCCTTCCTGGCTGGGTCAGGCATCAAGTGTTCTGGGTTTATCTTGTCTATCTCCTCTCTCTCTCTCTTAAATAGGACCCAGTCACCCAGAAAGAGTGAAACAAAACTCACTTTTCTGTTTCATTAGGTTTGGGGCAAGGGAAAACAATTCAAATTCTACATCCCCTGGTTTCTAGGACTCTTGTTTACTATCAAGAAACAAGTGATACATGGAAACCTAAGAGTCAGGTGTGAAATAACTGACTATTATTATTAATAGTTATTATTATTATTATGAATAATAACAGCCACAATTTACTGAGTGCTAACTCTATTGAAGGCACTGTACTAGGTGTTCAGCTACATTATCTTAAATCTTCATAGCAATTCAAAAAAGTAGGTGGTATCAGGGTGCCTATTTAACAGGGGGAAATTAAAGCTCAGGGAGCTGATTCCAAAGCTCATGCTCTTCTCAAAACATTACCCTGCCTCTGCTCTATTTTCTAAGCCTTTCCACAGCCCTTACTGCATACTGGAGGCAAGGCCTGGAATCCAAACTACAATATCTGAATTATCATCCTCTATTACTTCGCCTTCTTGAATGTACCTGAGGCATGAGCAAATTCTCTTCCACAGAGGTCACACGTCACTGGAAGCCTCTTCTTCTTCTTCTTGGGGACGTCAGGCTCTCCACCTGTACCATGGGCCTCCAGCTGATGTTTCTCCAGCTCTTTCTTAGAGTCCTTGGTCTCGTTACACTCCTTACACTGCACCTGTTTGCTCTTGGCCACCCGACAGCGCTTCATGTGCACCTTGAGGCGGCAGTAGAAATGGAAGCTCTTGTCGCAGGCCTTACAGACGAAGCTCTTCTTGGCAGAGTCTGGGGAGGCAGCAGTATCTTTCTCTTGTTGTTCTGGCAAGGAACCAGTCTCTCCTTGACCGTTCTGTTTCCCAGGCTGGCAGTTTTCTTCAGTTGGCTCAGCTGCCTTTTCATCTGCTTTGTCCTTGGCTTCAAGGTGAAATTTATTACTCACCATCCACCTTTCCTTCTCTCCCTTTTCTTCAGTAAGGAAACCTGCACAGGAGAGAGATCTGATGGCTCTGGGAATTTCCTATGTTTCTACTTTGCTTTCTAACTTTCCTTCTTAGGGGAGAATGGAGACTACTTGGGACTGTCATCTTTACTCTCTGATAAACACAGATAGCATCATTTTACATCTATGTCTATGACTTTTCTAAGTATTTGAGAGCATATAAAATAAAGCAGCGATGGGTGAACTCCTAAATGAACTGCTGCCTCTTCTCTCCAATAAGGAAACAACCTGGGGGCCTAACAGGACCCCACCCACCCTGTTTCTTACCGGCATACGCCAACTCCTGCATGACAGGCTGCAGGCCTGGGAAAGATCTGTGGATGCTGCACAGGAGCTGACATATTTCAATGGCCGAGATGGTTTTTTCCATGGCTCTGCTCAGCAATGCTCTCAGGGAAGCTTCAGGGCTGGCTGTCTCAGAGGAAATGCTCAGAATCTAAATGAATACCATGAGACAAAGGCTTGCGGTTAATATCAGCAGATTTTCTCCATGGTTTTCAACGTAGAAAACAAAGCTAGTTCCAGGGAGGCATTGCTCCATCTGTAACAAGTATACATTTCGTGCCATAAATATAGTGGAGAGCCCTTTTTCTCCAAGAATGGGGAAATTAACAAAATTTTAACAAGGAGGCACATATGAAGACAAATGTGCAAATATAAAGGTGCAAGCAAGGAAGCATTGAGGATTTTCTGTGAGAAGTATCTTCTCAGAAACCAGGAGTCTCCCAAAGAACTTTTCTAGAGCTTAGTATTATATGCTTGGAATAGGACTTGGTTGTTGGCATTTCTGTCTTGATGATCAAGATAATTTTTCGTAATATGTAACTGTTTCAATGTTGGGAAGTAATTCTGCACGATCAGTGGCTTCACGTTTTTAGATACTTAGGTGTACCCTTTTAAACATCATTTTCTTTCATAAAGAAACTCAGGTTGTTTTTTTTTGTTTTTTTTTTTGC